TGGGGAGCCAGAGAAAGATGAAAGCTTATCTTTCATCTCAGTATCCCAGCATGGCCCATATTCCCAGGCTCTCCACAGTTCTGCTCCACATTCTATTTCCTCTGAGGTCTGCCCAGCAGTCCTTGCAAATGAATGCTAAGTACGTGGCAATCTTTCTTACTCCCAACATTAATAGCCATTTGTAGCCTCCTCATCTGTGAATTTTTCCCACTCCCTTTTTCAGTCACCCAAATTGGTGGCCATCACTACAACCTGTAGAAGTGAATTGCATAGTTTAAACTATGCACCATCTGAAGAAGTACTTCCTTTTATCTGACCTGAATCTCTGACCAATCAACTTTATGGGATAACATTAGGTTCTAAAATTATTAGAGGAAGATGACTTCCTATCCACTTTCTTGACACCATGCATGATTATGTAGACCTCTATCATGTCTTTCCATAGTCACCTTCCATAATTTTGCACACCACCTGTTTTGTGCCTACACAGATGTATTCATGTTTATCATTCCGGATATGAACTTTAATTTGACCAAGGTCATCCACAGCAATATGGCTACCAACCCTCCAGAGCAGTGCACTTTATCATTTAAACTTGTGAGCAGAGGGTACTCAGTAATGGATCTTTGGCTGCTTCATTTCTTCTCTGAAGGTGATTACTTAACTAGGAACATATCTGAGAAGATATCAAGTATACTTCCTGCTGTACAACAGATACATCACAAAGTCACCTACAGGCAAAGATTATCTGATACTTTAAAAATAAGCTTGATTTGTTTACGAGTGCAATGATTTCAACATCCAAAAATATGATATATCTTCTTTTATAAAGAATGCAATTAAATAATATATAAATATATACACACTGCAAATGCAGTACAGATAACAAATTCATTTAAGCCCATTTATGCACATTAGTAACACACCATGTGGCAGAAAGACTAGGACTACAAGAAGACCCCTTGGCGATTTATTTTATATTAAATCCCTAATGGCCTCTGCTTATCTTTGCAAAATATGCACAAAAGTCCAGACTATGCAACCATTGAAGTGAATGGTTATTTATTTGCTAAACAAGAGCCCTATGTTTAATGTTCCTTAGATGTAAGGTAGTCTGCAAAAGTCACATTCTTACAGCTCCATACATCATTTATTTTACATACCCTAACTCCTTGTGAGATGTATCATAAAAAAAAGAATCTCACAAGTTAAAATTTGGTTTCATATATCATTGCTAAAAGATTAAACAGTAGCAAACAGTTAGTTTGCTAGCATCAAATTTAAATTTCTATCATCAGCCTGAACACCATCTGCAGAATGTCATGTGAAGGTTTGCACAGTAGTACTAACATTTGAAATAGTGGGCCTATTATTACACAAGGCCAAATGAGTCCTTTAGAAAATGTTTGTTTTAGACTAACCTTAGCAGGTTTATAAATGGCTTGAAATTCTAAAGCAAAATACAGACAAGAAAAAGCTTAGTTAAGCCTAACATCATTATATTCCTAGGATATATTGTTTATATGATATATTTCTATGTAAAGAAATAGAAAAAAATGTACTTTTAAAGTAGTAGAAATAACTCTTAACATTATCCGTCTCTTCTGCATGGGCAGTAGGGTTCTTCTCTGGGAAGTCAGCTTTCCCATTTGTAGGTAAGAGCTAAGCGCAGCACAGTGAACTGCATCAGGATAAGGCAGGGGCAAGAGCTAAACACAGCCTTTTAGGGATGCTTCTCTTTGCATGGAGGGTTCTCAGTGGTACATTTAGGACAGGAATCATTCACTGTATCAACCTAAAAATAGACCAGGATTATTTTACATACACATGTACTAACGATTTGAGTATAATCACATCTTAGTAAAGTGTGTTTCCAGCAAGTGCACCCACCAAGAAAAGATAGCGGGTGTGGCCTCCAAATTCAGAGAGGTTGCTCGTTTTATGCTGCCTGAAATCTGATTCAAAAACAAAACAAAGGCTAGGATAAAATCCTGACTTAGAATACAGGGATATCAATGGATTCATACTGTATATTATAGTACTATTCAGTGAGTTGTTCTCTTCAGGCAAAATCCAGATTATTTCTACTTCACAAACAGCAGCCTGGCTTTTATGTAGCTAGGCCTCAGTCCAAAAAAGGTTAATAGTAAAACATTATATAAAACCTTAAGCATGTTGGTTGCACAAAGATGTGACTAACTTTCTGTGGATTGAGTCCTTCATAACCAAGCCACTTTGTAGGAAAAACTGAGTTGGATGTAAATTTAGTCACACTTGAAGTAGACCCACTGAAATAAAAGGAACTTACAATTATAACTAACATAACTCTCATTTATTTGAGCGGATATACTTTTAAGTATAACTAAATCTGGATTCATCCCACTGTCATCTGTGGAAAGCAGTTATTGCAGGCCAAAATGTTCTGCTGACATACTGTATATGCTTCCTGCAAAACAAATCAGACCTACCACATGTCACAAGATACAGTGTTTTTGTAAAACAACCACCATCTGTCAGGCTTTGCTTCCAAGTAAGCAGAATACACAACAATCAGAGACAGAACAATAAGCTATTGGATCACTAGTAAGAACATAAAATCCTATCTTTATGTTCACCACACATGTGATCCAGAGATACACAGTCCCCTACCCCTCAAATAGCATTTCACTAAAGCCTGAATGTTGATGAGGAGCTTTAAGAGTATGGAAATATAAAGCTAAATCCATTAAGTAAATACTATTTATCTCTTTAAGGGAAAACCAACTCTCTTCTAAAGTCACTTTCATTCTTTTTTAAGCTGTGATTTCTAAGGAAGTCCCAGTAGAGAACATGAAAAGATACTCTCAGGGTGTTGCATAATGCAGGGCAAAAAAGTTAAAATGCATGACAGAAATTTGACAATCAGAGTAATGTTTTGCCATCACTTGGAGAAATCTTGCTAGGAAGAAAATGAAAATATCACCACCAGATTGTTCATCTCATTTTCCTGCCACCACTTTTAAAAACATTAATGTTGTCAATTATATGTACTGACATTGGACAGACACATGGATAGTTGTCAAAATATGATACTAGACCCAAGCAGAATTTCAGCTCCAAAACCTGCAGTTACATCCAAAATGCTTAGCAAGATGTTCAAGAACAAATAATGTTATTTGTTGGAAAATAAACATGACAGCCACAATATGTGCTGCATATCTATTAAAACATAGCAAATGTTGTAGTATTAAATATGCAAGAAAAAACTAAACACAAACTTATTTTCATAAGAAAATCTGAATGGATGGAAACAACATATCTTGGTAAACAATTCTATTTTAAACAACATTTTATCATATTTTTCAAAGATTTTACTTCAGGTCCTCTCTGACATTTTCTCTTTCTCGGTCATTCCCATCATCAGCCCACTAAATCATAAAATACATTTTACTGAATGATAACTGCAAGTACTAACACCCAATGCAAAGCAATCAACATAGAAAGGAAATAAATCCCAGATATTGCTCTCCTGCTCTGTAAATCATATATGAATAAATCAAATGCTCAAATTAAGATAGTAAGTTTGTGACTATGGTACACTATGACCAAACTTCCCTTGCCTCAGAAATCCCTTAACCTGCAACTGTTTAATGTTTACACTCAACATTCCTAATTAAGCTTGCTTTCAGGAAAAGTGGCTTGAAGTAACAATGGCCTGATGCCATCACAATTTATGCCATTCACAAAAGGTTCCTATGCAAACACATCATGGTCGAATCCACCATGACCCATGTCTCTCCTTGGTTCATTCATTCATTCATTATATTTATATCCCACCTTTCTCCCATTGTGGAACACAAGGTGGCTACATGTGGTTCCCATGTGGTCTCCCTTCCAAGCTCAGGCCAGCCCCAGACGTGCTTAGCTTCAACATGGTGGACACCTTATGTACCTTCAGACCATACTCTTGTCTCATGGAGCTGGATGTCAGCCAAGTGAAAAAATCCCTTCCCACTGTTCAGTTGCCCTTCAGTGGCCAAGAAAGCAGAACATATAGCCTTGTTGACCTGAACGTGAACACTGTTTTGGTGCTTCTGCTGTTGCATGTACAGACCTAAAATACATGTGAGTTCATATATGTCTAGTTCACACATACACACAACTCCCATGTTTAGAGCATGATAGAAAAAGCCCAGTGTGAACCATGATGTGATTTCAGAAATGTAGGAAGTATGATTTCAGAATTAAACCCAAAACTTATTTCACGATTCATGACAAATCACATACAGGATGGCACTTCTACACATGGATGGGAGGGGTCCATGTTGCAAATATGTGCTGACCCCCCAAAATCCAAGGCATCCTGCACCCACCTAGCAGTCACTATGACTAATATGCCTGCTTTTCTTCTTTCATCCTGACAGCACGAGACACTGCTCCATTTGAACAAAGTTTCATGAGCTCCTGAAGGCCACAGTTAAGGACGGACACACTACAGGAGTAGGAGCAACAGAATATTGTGGTGTTATGCTCTTCCATCTGCCATAGCAACAGATAGCCTGAGGGAACATATATGAACATACGCCTCAGGTCGAGTCAGACTAATTTACACCAGTCTCCAAAATATTAGGCTAAAGATTTACGCTGTCCTTGCTAACTGAGGCACTTTAACTGGAAATGTCAGAGATGTAATCTGGGACAATCTACATGCAAAGCATGTGGTCTACCACTGAGTTATAGCCACTCGCATAAGATTGGTACTAATTTTATGCCATACCAGCAGACCGGGGGGGGGGGGGGAGAGGATTCAGAAAATGAAAATAACGAGCATATTAAATTCCAGCTAATCTCTACTGACTGAATCTCGAACACTTCCAAGGCCTAACAGGAAGTTGTTCTAGAATATAAGCTACCCTAAATAAGCCACAAGTACTTTGTTAGCAGTAGAAATATGTTCATGCCACACTGCGTAAAGCTTTAAAATATTTTTAAAATCCCATCCTGGTTTGATTTCTCCTTACCTCCAGATTCATATACACGGTGCTCACAGCTACTTTTATTACTCCATCTGATACCTCTTTGAGATCCTTGAGCACTGCCTCCTCAATTCTTAGTCCTGTGGAACAGGTAAGGAAATTACCAGTGCATGCCCAAGTTCCTCGGACTGCAATATAACAAATAATACTGGCTCCGAGAAGAACATTGCATGTGAATGTATTTGCCTTTCCATTCGTCATGCTAAGCAACCCAAAGCAGCACAACCTAGCATCATTTTGTCCACAATTCTGACTAGGATCTAAAGCAAAGTCTGGAAGGTCTGGAAACCATTTCCCCACCATTACTATGAAGACCACCAAGAACAATTGCCCCACAGCTTGCATTCCTCCAACTGCTGCCTGCAAAATTTGACAGCGGTAGCAAAACATGCTAATAAATAATACAATGAACAATTTTGTTTAAATGTGATTTTTTGCCAACACTCTGAATTTCAGTCACACAAAAGGAGGGGGGCACACAGGAGCTGCTTATCATCTGCCCCTGGACTAAGCTTGCTTAGCACTCTTATAAATTTGTTACCGGCCCATGAGACAGGCCACGATAAAACATTAGATTGGACAAGCTTCCATTTTCACTTTGTTTCAAGAAGACATGACAATCTTTTGGAAAAAAAAGACTCTATACTCTATAAATAACCACCATGGAATGTGATACTGAAAGGTTCAGGGTTCATTTATTTATTTTGCAATGTATAGATCTTTTGATTCTTCCATTCAACCTAAAATTAGTTACTTGAAAACTGTATTTGCCATGCCAGAAGATCAAAAAAGATAAAAGACAGAAAAGTCAAGAAATCCTGTACCATCTGCATGAAACTGAGCCTCCCGCAAGATTGTGATGATATCCTCTCGAGGCGGCAGCTCTGGGAATTTCTTTTCCAGACTTGAAAGCACTTCTTCCTGTGCTTCAGTTATTCTTTCAGGATCCATGGCCATGGCTTGAAAGAGAATGCTCCCTGAAATGTTTAAGGGGGAAATGAGCACACAAAGGAAAAGACAGAAAATACAGTGACCTGACATGCATAGTTATTTAAACATATAGCTGCAAATTATTTAAATTCTTTCCTATTGATAATAGGCTATCTGAATGCCCTATTTCTGCAAGGTTATTTTTCCTTTTTAATGTCTGCTTGGACTATTCCTCCACACACCAAAAATGATTATTAGTTTGTTTTTAACCTGGAAAAACCACATCTCCATGACCCTAAGGCAGAGAATTGTGCAGTTAACAAGACACAGTGCAAAATGCTTTAAGGTTCTTCTTTGAGCAGCAACTCATTCATGCCATTTGCTTCAAAAAGGGTCTATTATTGAAAAAAGGGTTGAAATCACACCACAGAATATGCAAACCTTTCTGCATATATAAAAGGTCATATGTGATTAACTTTGATGAGTAAACTGAAACGTTATCATGTATTGTGATACCCCCCCCCCCAAAACCAGGGCTAGCACCAAAGGCAGGCATGGCCAGGCATCTGCCAAGGGCCCACACCTCAGTAGAGGTGCACTGACATAAGCCAGCTAGAGTTGTCCCCCTTCTTCATCACTGCAGCCTGCTTGTTCACCTGCCTCTCAGCCCAGAGAAAGGTGATGGTGAGATGGAGCAGCAGCAGATGAGCCTGTCTACTTGCCCTCTGCCCATCAAGCAAGCCAGTGGTAGTAATAATAATGAGAAAGGACGAGGTGCAAGAATAGCTGGTGACAACAGTGGTGAACGTGCAGGCTCAGTGAGTGATGGCACCCACTGGGGGTGTCTCAGCCAAAGGCCCTCAAGAATCCAGAGCCTGCACTGCCACCAATAGCATAATTTTTAAAATTAGTTTCCGAAAATGAAACAGATATTCAGAAATCTAAATTAATAGCTGCTTCTGCAACCACTCACCATCAAGGAATGCTTCTAAAGGCCAGCTAGGCAGGGATACATTTATGAGGAATGCTACAGATGGACCTATCATTTTAGGCTTTCTTCCATAGCAGCACACAAAGGCAGTGTTTTAAGCCAAGAAGAGGAATGTAGGAAGCTGCCCTGCACTAGGCCAGCCTGTTCAACATCAAGAGGAGGATGATCTGTCATGACAGGCAACAGCAGTTCCTCAGCAGAAATCATTTCCATCCTTAACCGAATGCAAAGCATGTGCCCTGTTGCTCACTTATGGCTGACATTCATAAATGTCATGTCTCAAAAGCTGCTAGTTCAAGTCTGGACATTTTCTTAATTCTGACATAGAGTCAGATGCAAGAGACCTACAGTGAAGATCTACAGCCTTTAAATAAAGGGGGGATTAATAGTTGCTGCCTGTGCTTATGAAACAAATCAAGATCTTGATAAGCAAGGAGGATGTTTTGTTCTCCTATCCACCTGCTCCCATGTCCAATTGCTTATTGATAACTGCTAAGTTCCTTGCAAGAGAACATTTACAATACTCTTAACGTACCTGGGGCCAAGAACAGATTTGAGCCATGAGAGGCGGAGGTTTCCCAGAAGGGTTTTTTCATATAAGTTCTCTTTACCTGATGTTTGGGGGTCCCCTGTTTTCCACCAACCCAGCTCAATTCATTAAGCAAGGTTTCCTGACTTTCTATGTAGTATTTCTAGGGGTCTGAATGGGCTGCTGGTGAGAAGGAAGAGGCATGGAAGTCCATTTCCACCAACACAATTGATCCAGTGTAAATCTGGATCCAGCCCTTTGAGTCCAACCTATTTAAGTTCTTTTAATGTATATATTTTAAAATGTTATTTAACTTATTTGTTGTAAGCCGCCCCGAGGCTTCGGCGAATGGGGTGGCATAAAAATGTTTTAATAAACAAATAAATAAATAAATAAAGTTCTACAGTATAAGCCATAACTCTAAGTTCTATAAGCACCTTGAATTGTGTCTGTAAATAAACTGGAAGTGAGGACAGATTTGATTAAAATAGAGTATGTGTTCCGAAAAGTGTGAACTCTAGGCAATATTCTATCACATTTTGCGCTAGCCAAAGTTTCCAAAAGTGTCTCAAAGGCAGATGTAATAGTGACCAACTTATGTATGACAGTGATCAGAATGGTTTTTCTAGGAGTCATACAGTGTTCAAACTAGCAGGCAATGGTGTGATAAACAGCAACAGGGAAGTTTGAGGACATGACATGTTACCCATACACTCATACTTTGGCACTTGACTAAAATTCAGCTCCGAATAATTCAGCTGAGCGTAAGAACATAAAAAGATACATGTTGGAGCAGACCAAGAGCTCATTAGTCCAGCATTTGGTCATCCAGTGGCCAACCAGCTGCCCAGGGGAAACCCAAAATGCAGGACCTGAGTGCAACAGCACCTCTTGCCCAAGCTCCCCAACAACTGCCTCTCAATCTGGAAGCAGAAGATACCTCTCGGGACTAATAGCCATTGCTAGCCTTCACATCCATGACTTTGTCCAAGCTGCTTTTAAATATACCTTTTCTTCCTAAGTTGAACAACTTGAGCTGCTGGACTTTTCCTCATAAGGAACTGTTCCAATCCACTCATCCTTTCAAGTACCCTTTTTGGCAGGTTTTCCAACTCTACAATTATTTAGGAGTGGTTAAGAAGAAGTGTAGACACTGTGATGACACCATAGTTTTGTATAAGAACAATAAGATATTGGCACTTCTAGTTTCAGTTTCTTTCCTAATTATGGCTAACATGAAGTTTGTTTTTTCACAGCAGCTGTGCACTGGACCAATGTTTTCATCAAGTTTTCTACTATATATGTTTTTGACATGCTACATATTTTTGTAAGAAGGTCAGAAATATAATGTTTGAGTCTTTAAGTTCTTTATTTTATGATGGTTACCATCTGGGTCTGGTGCTTTAGTAACTTTCAATTTGTCAAGAACTTAATTTTTGGTCACTACCATGTGACTGCTCCTTAGACTCCCTTCCTGAAAACAGAAGTTCAGGCATAAGTATCTGCCCTTCATCTTCAGCTGCAAAGAAAGCTGAAATCATTTAGCTTCTTCACAATTGCCTTATGATCCTTAGTACTACTTTAATTTCATTTTTATTCAAAGGTTCACTTGCTGCTTTTGCTATATTGAAAGAATAATTTATTGTTGGCCTTGATTTGTTAGCAAACCAATTTTTTGCATCTCTTATTGTCAGCTTGCACCTCTCTTGTACAAGCTTAAACTTCCGTTTGTTTCCCTCACCTAAGCAAGATCTCAATTTTCCGAAAGAAGTATATCTGCAGGAAGTAAAGATCTTAGGATGATGCATCACAGTTTATCAATCAAAGCTTCTCCATACTTTTTAACTGGAAGCAGAATACAACATGCAACTGTCAAAGCACAGGGTCCGTTTAAAGGTGGTGTTTTGAGTAGGATGGTGGGAGTTGCACTGGGGCATACAAAGAAATATGCCCCATTACAAGTCCAAATACCTGTCAAATCTTATTTCCATTTTAAAAGAAGGGACATTTCTCTAGCCCCAAGAACCTCTGGACAAAACATTCTAACATTTCCCTAGCCTCAAGAAGCTCAGGGCAAAAGTTGAAGTGTGTTCCCCCATGGGGAATTAAATAGGGAAGCAGAAACAATGAATACCTTGTTGGGAAGGAGGTGTAAATCCCCTCCCACCAAAAATGAAGAACAAAAAAACCCTTCTTGGTTTCCTCTTGATAGCACACCTCTCAAAGGAAATCAGGTGGTAGAGAATGGATTTTGAGCCTGTTCTGCCCAATGTCCAAGACTGGTATGTACTCAACTTTGACAGTAGGGAGCCCCATGGCCATGATCTATCTATTTATTGATTGATAGACTCCGGGGGATGGTGGAGGACAGGAAGGCCTGGAGGAATGTTGTCCACGGGGTCACGACGGGTCAGACATGACTTCGTGACTAACAACAACATCACACCTTTTTTCCTTTCAAGGAACTCAAGGTGGCTTGCATCATACTCCTCCTGCTGCTCTCAGTCTTATCCCCACAACAACACTGTGTGGTAGGTTGGGCTGCGTGTCTGTGACTGGCCCCAATCACCCAGTTTGCTCCATTACCAAATGGAGACTCGAATCCAGATCACCTGAGTCCCAATCCCACACTCTTAACCACTGCACCACCCTGGCTTTCTGGTGTGGCCAAAAGAGGCTTGAAAACCAAGCAGTTGTGCTTCATTGAAGTCCTTGATGCACTTGCCAGCAGCAGCCTACAATGTGCCCAACTGTCTGTGGGCCTCCCAGGGATTCAGCCATACTATGTCACTTGTGCTGCACTGTTGATTGCCATGTTGCCTGAACCCACCCACACTAGCCTCACCCTTTCCCTCTTAAGGCCCGCTTATTAATCACCAAAAGAAAGCAAAAGAAGCCAGTTATTTTGCATAATTTGTGCATACAAACACATATATAAATACTTTCCTATGATTTGTAAGCAAATATTAAACCGCACTTTCCCAGTTTAGGCATAGTGGCAAATTGTTTTAAACAAACTGGAATGTAAACACCAAAAGGGAACCCTACGAAGCCACTATATGGAACATCTTGAATTGACGAGTCTTCTTCAGGCTTCCCATCACTGCATGAGCATGTTCCTGGGCCTTACTCCCCGACACACAGCAGGATCAGGATTTCTACATCCTGCCCCACAGTGATGGCTGAATATCCACTTCTCTGTTTGAATAAGCTCCCCATGAAAAATCCCATTGCAAAATCACAGCCCCCACTGCATGGAGAGCAGCAACCGACAGTTGATGGAGAGGAAGGCCATAGAATGCATCCCTGCTCTGCCGCTTAGTGCAGTTAGAGGGAGCCTCTAAAGAAGTCTAGAGTCTTGCTAGTGTTACAGGGTGTTGGTTCAAGACTGGACACAGTATAGAGTTGTGCAGAATAAATGAAGGAACTCTCTAATGCATGTATCCCTATGCTGGACAATGACAGCAAATTCTAAAAATGTGTATCAAGAGTCTACCATCAGTTAAAAGGTTTGTCTACACTAGGCCACTTTAAAAAGAACAGCAGAGGAAATCACATTATAAAATATTCTAAAGCATTTGGATGAAATTGCCAAGTGATAGGTAGCAACAGCCAAGATGTAAAGCAACACAGGCTCATTAGCTTAGAATTAAAGTTGACTAGAAGATCAGCACTGATTTGTGAGCCTAATTGTACAGAAAAAAAGATCAAAAAGGCTATGCTTCAATTCAACTACAGTAACATCATTTGATTAATTTTATTTTAATTTATCACTTGTCAACACAGGGTAATTAAACCATTGATAACAAATTGAGCAATAACTCAAGAACAGTCTTTGCCAAATCAATTCAATGTTAAGTCCTAGATAAATACTTTGACTATGTGCCTGCACACAATGCTGTTCTATAAGCCATACATAAAAAGTAAACTGAAATATATTTTTATTTTACAAAATTCCTAACCTCTTTGAGGAAAAGAATCAAGGTATATGTTGGGGGCTAGAAGGGAAGCACTATGCTTATAATATGCTTTAAGCATATACTCAATATATGGGAGGTTAGCATTTATGATAAAAACCACATCTAAGAGGAATACCAAAATGGCTTCTTCAAGATCTTGGTCAGTTTGGATTAGGAATGGCAGCAACACTATTTGGCTGCCGCTTTATTGCTTTTATATACCAGACTCTTCCAATCTGGTGTACTCCAGCTGCATTGGGCTTGAACTCCCATCTGCCCCCACCAGCCTGGCCAATAGCTAGAAATCCTGGGAATTGTGGTCTGAAACATCTGGAGGGGACCATGTTGAGGAAGGTTGTGCTATTCCTACAAATGGCTAAACTCCTGAAATAATACACGGATTCACTTTTAGCTAGAAATTAGAAGCTACAACCTGGAAGGACTGTGAGCAACCATTGCCTTTGGGACTCTCACTGGAAGACTGTGTTGGTAGCTGTGACTCTCAAGAGCCAGCCCATGCTACACCATGGCTGCAGGCAAGACCGTTTGATGGAGAATATAGAACAATATCCTTGCATGAAGGACAAAAGTGCTTAAACACTTAGATTTGTTTTCATGCTTTTAAAACATCCACTTCCCTTGCCTTTCTTACACTGACATCTATAAAAGCTCAGTGATGTAATCCACTTAGCCTTTATGACCATATAAGAAAAGGGTGAGCCATCTATCCTGTGAATCATCCATCTTGCAAACAAGGGTTTTTTATTTGGGTTTTTTTCCCCTTTTGGTGAATGTTGTTATTCATCACAATTTCTTTAAAGGGGACTTCATATAATAACGTACTTGATGTGAGCTGCTATAATAACAACTGAATCTTTGAATGGATTATCTGCTACACTGGATGGCACCTTGGGGTCTGAATGGGACCTAATTAAGTCCAAGCATCACGCTGATCTTCTTCTTACTTAGCTATGCTTGTGTTTACATGTTACTGACTCTCTAGGCCATGCAGTATCCTTCATGACCTGATAAAAGTCACCGGAGGGAAATGTTTTCCATAGTGTGCTGACCCAAGATACCTGACTGAAGGATATCCTTGCCAGTTGGCTCCAACCAAAAAAGCAATGATTCAGCAATTTAATGGATCCTGAATCTGGCAACAGTCCCTTAGTAAATATCTCCTGGGAAATAAAATGATAGAGGTTCAAGCTTCTGGCAGGTTTTCTAATTGTTTGCTTCTGGCATGAACCCAGAAATGAAGCAGGCCTTGACTAACAGCAGCATCTCTCTTGGAGTACGGAGTTTCGTGAAGCAGGTTTTGCTAAAGCTTACCAAGAAGAATTCATTTGTTGTTTACAAGTTCTTATCCTCATAAAAATAACCCTATGAGGTAGGTTAGGCTGAGAGTGAGTGACCAGCTCAAAGTACACAGTGAATGTCATAGCTGAGCAGGGACTAGAAGCCAGGTCCCCAGTTCAACACTATAATCATTATACCACGCTACTGGAAATGCCATGTTAGTGAAATGAATTGTTTGGGTTGGTGGATCCAGGATGTTTCACTGCAGTTCAATATCCACACTTGTTTTTATAGCACTGAATTAACGTTGTTAGCTGCTTTGAGCTCACTTGAGTGGGAAAGCAGCGTCTAAATTAAAAGCAGTGGTGGTGGTGGTGGTGGTGGTGGTGGTGGTGATTATGTTAGGAAGAAATAGCCCAGAAGATTTGCATCCTTTGCAGTCTCCTCTGCTTGTGCACTTCCACAGGAAATGTGGCTCATCTCTACCTATCACAGAACACTGGGCTTGATGCTCCCTAAATGGATCGTGACGGGGATAAAATTATTTTGCAATTCTGCTCAAATAACATTTTTCCTGAAAGAATTCTAAGAAGCCCACCAATCTAGTGTGCACCGGATGCAGGTGGAATGAAAGAAAGAATTAGATTCCCCTGTGCTTGATCATATTCCCTGTCTTCTGAGGCATTATTATCCTATTTTTCCAAACTCGACATGTCCCAGATACAAAGCTACAATAGCATAGGAGACCATTCTCCTACCCATATAATGTGCAGACATTTCTGTCTAACGATACAGCAAACACCCCAGCCATGTCATATTTAAATGCACATTTTAATATTCTGCATAATGTTACTCTTTAACAAACTCTTTACACCCTGCTTCTTTCATGCAGCTTCCTATGGTCTTTAAAAGGATTGTTAACCAAAGAATGGATCACGGCCTCTCCACATGAGTGGACTCAGAAACACTCCATTAAGCCTTTCAGTATTTAATATAGAGAGTAATCCCTCACCTCTGAGGAGATGAGCCAGTTGCCGAGTGATTAACTCTGGTGCCTTTTGGAGAAGCTCCTTTGCTACTAGAGAGGAAGCTGATTCTAATAACTCCAGGTTGCCATCACATTGCTCTTCAGGGCCGATGACTCTGACAATAGCTGATTCCAAACTTTTATCTTCACTATAAAAAGCAAAGTTTCCAAAGATTTTTTTTCTTCATCATTTCTTCCTTGTATAAATGCTTTAATACAACACTGTAGTCATCTAAATGCAGTTAAGCAAGACTCGTTTTTTGTGAGCTTGGGTACAGAAATGAGTAACATAGTTTTTCAGGGATTGAAAAAAACCTGACAGGATGGTCCCTTTTATGAATACAAACATTTATGGTCTGATGCCATTTATCTGGAATTTTGCCAGACTTATCAATAGCAGTGCAGTAAATATAGATGCTAAAATTGGGGCCCATTATTAGTACCCAACTTATTAAAAAAATGGCAGAGACCCAGTTGGGACTATGGGCCTTCCTTATTTTCAGTCTTGCCAAAAGGGTTTCCTCAGTAATGACAGGATCCCAGCTTTCCAAATGGTTTAAATGTATAATCAAAGAAGTAGGGTCATCAGGCAAGGAGAGATTGTCGTTAAAAACTGTATGGAAATGTTTCTCCCATTCTGAGAGTGTAACTAAACAAGGAGGGGGAGAAAACTGTCCTCTACTTTCCAAGAACCCAAATTTACATGAATCCCACACGAAGGAGGCTTGGTGTAATTTTAACCAACAGCATATCTGATAAACTCTTTTCCTCAACCAACTATATTTAAGTTGGCTCTTAGCCTGTAAATATTTCAGAAGTGCAAAGTGAGAATTAGTTCTACATAAACTAGGGTAACAGTTGAGATTTCCAAAACTTTGCAAAATCTGTCATATCAGGGAGGTATACTGTTCCACCTCTTTACAGTTCATCTTGAGACCATAAAAACGGTTACTTTAATTCTAATAGCTGGGAAATAAATTTGAGAGTGCTACTAAGAGGTTCAGAAAGAATCCTATTCCTTCTGTCCTTAAACCTTGGCAAGTCCCTGTTGGTATGAGGCTGCATAAGAGGAGACACAGTACCATTATTCTTCAAAATTTCAAAATGATTTCCCTTCCTTATGCTGAACCAGCTCAGGAGAAAAATTCAGTTATCTATTACATCCTATGACTCCCAATCTAAAAACATTGAAAAGTTAAAAGTTACACAGTTTTAAAATAATAAAATAAATATAATTTATTTATAAACTAAATAATAGGCTAAAAGCCAAAATAGTAAAAGCTAATATTTTATATACATATCTATCTATCTATCTATCTATCTATCTATCTATCTATATAATATAAAACTCTAATATAGAATTTAGACGGAATTGAGTTTATTACAGCATGCAAGGGCCTACACTTGAAGATAGGCAAGCCGTCCAATGAGTCAGCAATTCATTCAAAACACAAAGTGAAAAATTAGAGTCACTAACAACTCAGAGGTCAAACAGTCATAAGCTAAACAATCTCCCCGCGCTAGCTGAGAAATCCTTTCCACTCCCTCACATAGATAAAAAAGAGCTGGAACTAAATAAAATTGGAGAACACTGAAGAATGAAAGTAAGCAAGGGAAAAATAAAGATATGACAGAATAGCAAGCAAAATAAAGCAATGTCATAAGAAAATACAGCCCCAGAAACAGAGCACAGCCTTTGTGCAGCTATTTTGAGGGGATTTTTTTCCAATCTGAGGGTTAATCAATACCAATGATGTTGGAGGCTTACCAAGCCATAAATAAATAAATTCTTTTACTATACATGGTGCCTGTTTGGATCTGAACAGCTTTAACTAGGCTGAAACAGCACAGGCTTCATTTTACATTCTCTTCTGCAAGCCCCTAAATGCATTTTGAACTCTAATCTACTGTTGGAATCATACTCTAGTCAAATTTCTCTTATGGCTTGGGCAGCTGCAGTAAAATTTAAATTTGTCTTATTAGATTGTGAGTCCTTACCTGAGCTTTTAAAATGGACTCAATTTGATTCCCATAAATCATCTTGGGATAAATTAATGGAGGATAAGCTGCTGAGTCTAGGGTTTAATCTGTCCTTTCCCACTGATATCTCTAATGTTCGAAAAAAGACTTTGGAATCATTGAGGTGATTAGATCAGGAGGTTATTTAGATGCTAGGAGACACTGTTCCCCAATTTTGGAAGGCTTCCCAGACCCTTTTAACATGGCACTGTTACCTCTTAAAGAGTCCCATGTTTTTGTCAACTCTTTCTCTTGGCTAGTATAAATGCTTTACTACTTGAAAAAAGGTCAAGCCACTGCAAGGGTTCTAGGTGCCCTCAGCAATTCTGCTTTTGTGATAGGAACATGACTGAAACTTTGAACCAAACTTGGATTGAGGAAGAGGCTATGTTCAGGGGCAGCTAAGGGCAAAATTTTGCTTGCAAAATTCAAAGTGAACTTTATTAGTAGTTTATAAAGCCCAATACCTCGTCAGTGCACTGCTGTTCACAAGAGTAAGTGACAATTTCCCTTCATTGTTCAGCTGATACAAATTTATTTCATCACGGAAGACATGGAGAGACTCTGGGATATTCAGCTCTTCCAAAATAAACCGAGTTTCTGTGTGGTAGCAGAATTCTCTTCTTGATACATTCACGACAGGCAAGCACAGAATGTTAGGTGGACTGACCTACAGCAAGAGAATTCCTGGGCATCAGAACATACTCCAGTAGCATTGCTAACCTGTTTACACTTCAGTGTAATTTTTCTTCACTGCACCTTCACATTCTTTTTTCCAACATAGGCATGTCAGCGGCACGCAAATGATGAACATTATCATGTGTTAACACTGCATGCATTTCTATGTTGATACAGGCAGTCCTCGAGTTACAAACAGCCCATACTTATGAACGAGCTGCCATAAAGCCTATTGTTTTTTTTTATTGTTTTTTTCAAAATTACTGCAGGAAATTGTCATCACCATAAAGAGAGAGAAGTGAAAAGTGGAGTGAGGGCAGGCCTCCAAAGCATCACCAGAGAGAGAAAACAAAAGGGGAGAGAGGCCTCCAAAGCATGCCTTCCTGTCCTGCCCTCCAGCATTCCTTGGATACAAAGAGGAGGCACTGGTGAGTTGCTGGGGGGTGGAGAGTGGCTAGAGATATTCATGGTTTTTCCAATTCACAGGGGTCCAGTGCCTCTAACCCCAGCTATACATGATCCAACTTACATACTTGCATACAAATTCAACATCAAGACAAATTTCCATTTTCTCAGGAACAGAACTCATTTGTAAACTGGGGACTGCCTGTACTTCTATATATGTTCGATAGAGTGTCTTCCAAACATGCATGTATGTCGCAGGACAAGATGCACACAGCAGTATCCAACAGGGCTGCTGTGATCTCACAGACTGTGTTGCACCACTGTGGGTAACCACTGGCATCAAGGGGATTTAGGGCTTGGTAAAGTAAGTCCTGAAATGAGTGGAAATGTTCATTTCTAGAGAAGAAAAGATGAGAAACCTACCTTTCTCAAGCTCTATTGAAAGGCCCATTCCAGAAATGAGTGTTTCCACTCATTTTGGCTTATTTTATGAAGTGTTTAATCCCTGGTACACACTTTTAACTCCCCCCCCCACAAAGCTACATGAAATTATGTTTTGCTCAGCACTTAAAGGCTAGCTTCAAGAGCTTTTCTACATGTGGCACATACTGTGCATTAGGCATTCCTTCCTCACAGTTGTTTAGAAGTCCTTTAAGACAATGTTGTGACATTTAAGTTTTGCTTCTGTTTCTGAACTGCACTTTTGGAAAGTCATTTTTGACTTATTTATCTGGGAATAAGCTCCATTAGAATGAAACTTCTATCTAAGTAGATCTGTAAGGAATTACATGGTGAGCAAGACAGATGTCACTGGAGAATGCATTCTAATTATAAGGAACCGTTAAATAAACTGGATGCGGGTGAAGATAGAGGTGGAACCCTTAGGATAAATTAAATCAATGAAGTGGTTCTTGAATAACCCATTAAAGAAAAAGTAGAGATTAAAGCAGTGACCCAGCATTAATTCCCAGACATAAAATCAGAATATTGTTGTTATTTACTTCTCCTGCAGTTTTGCTATGTGACAATGGAATTATAAGGATTAAATACAAAATATAGGATCAATACTTACCTTCTCAAGATAGTAGGCATATGTTAAAGCAGAAATAAGAGAATCCAAATCACAGGATTTCTTTCCAAGGACTATGTGCACTTTATCCATGTGTTTATTTCGACTCTAGAAAAGACAGCATTTAAATAAGCAGAATCAAGGAATGCCAGTTACGTTAGTACTTCAAACAACTTAATATTTGGCAAAATTCATTTGCTTCAGCATAGTCTTCATTGCAGAGAAGTAGCACAGCCCCACTGTTTGACACCTGTGGGACTAGATCAGGCATAATGAAGACAGAGGTGCAGCTGTAGGAAGAAGCTACAGTTCCTGCTATAAGAACAAGGTACCACAAGCATCAGGCACAATCATCTCCCCTCATTCTCCTCTTCTTTTGCATGCCAGAGGAGGAGATTTGGTGCTTTTCCTTCTGGATTTTAAATAATCCATAGTTCTGAATTTGGGAATCTATGTTATGTTTAAATTCTAGTCACTGAACAATCACGATCAAACACCAGTGTCTGATCCTGGCTTCTTCTCACTCACTAGAATTTAGGCAAAGCACCCTTCCTTATGTTTGGATGCAACTGTGAACTGCGGCTGGCTGGAAACCTTAACTATGGCTGATCTTTGCTGTGTGAAAGGAGAGGGGAGGGGACCAGCTGACAAGCCTTAGGCTTGCCCTGGACTGTTCAGGTAACAGGAAATCATGGTCCCCATTACATCCAATCTAGAAGAGCAAAAGTAACAGCTCTGTTCTAGTTCACTTCAACTGAAACACTGCTTTCTGGGCTTTTCTGCACATGGCATTTATTGTGCTCATGTGATCCTCCAAGCACAGAAGTTTGTGGGAACTTTTTACAACATCACCACTGTCCAGAGACTCCCCCATGCTTTTCATCCTTCTTAGTTCTGTTTTGTTTTTCAGGAAGGAAAGCCTGTGGTCAGATTTTAAACTGCAGCATACTAGAACAAAATCCCCATGAGAAGTCACAAATATGCTGTAGTGCAGCTATACCACAGTGTTACCTTTTGGCTGGTCAACAGAATATACAGAAGGTACAGAAATGGAATCCCCAGGAGACCCTGTCCCTACTTCCAAGTAGATGACCCTTTTTCTCCATGATGCCAGGACTGACCAATTTCCATGTGTTTTGCACTTGGAAATACTGTAAATTATTTCTGCAGTTCTACTTTCATCATGTGAGTATCTTGATTAGAGCTCTACTTTTCAGTTGTTGTTGTCTTTTAATCAAACATCTTCAAATATCATACACAAAGAGGGAGAAGGGAACAGATAGAGATGCTGACTATTTGTGGTGGAAAACTGGAAGGGAAATAGGATGGAGCATCCCAAGAGAAGGCGTGGCTGAATGGCTGAAACAAGAACGCCAGCATTGCAACATTTTGTTGTAGGTTTCACGTTTCAGTATCTAATTAAACAAGTTCTAACTTGTGTTTGTTTCTACTTTTCAATATCCTGCATCCTAACTTTTACACAACACTCACATTCTTAATTGACAAAGCTTTAATTGGCAAAGCCTTCTTCGGTAATTAATGTATTTAAACTTTTTGCACAGAAATACCAATTCACCAACAGACACCCCACTATTTTCTTGTGAGTTGAGGTTAAGAACAGATAAGGTTGATTGTGATGTTGTAGAACTTCACAACCCCAGCTCTGAGTTCACTCCTCTGATACATACACATGCACATGTGCATACCCACCCACTGAAACACACAGACACATTTTTTGTACATCACAACAAAGCTACTTGTACAAGAGACCCACAACTCTGAATTCATATTCAGTGCTTGTTTTAAACGACCCAAGTCCACAACGCCAGTAAGAGGATGTGCACAAGGACAACTAAACCATAAAGTACTGCAATGGAAGGACAGAGAGCAAACATGCCCTTAAGCAAACTGAAAGATTCAGAAGAAAACATTAAGTAGAATGATTAATGGTGCAAGACATATGAGGAGATGCTGAAGGAACTAGCTGTGATCAGCCTAGAGAAAAGAAGCATATCTATCTTTGAATATTTGAAAAGCTCTTTAAAGAAGATGCAAAGGGAGAGGAAGCTCTTTCTGCTTCTTTCCACAATTTCATGCATGTCTTTTACTGTCCATGAAGACTTCAGAAGTCAGGACTTGACTATGACCATTTGAAACACTTTGAAATCAATATGGAAGATCAGATGGCAATCACAAGAGACCTTTAGTATTCAGACAGCTGCAAAATAATACGATGATTAAAATTTAGGGAAACACAGTAACATATGTTTTAAAATACTTTGTTTTAGTCAATTACTCTTAATTAATTATCCTCTCCTTTTGCCCAGGTAACTACGTTCTTCACTGGCCATGTGCCCCATAAAATCCTATAGGAATTAGGGGGAAACTCTCACTGGATGACTTTGTGTCAGTCGCTGACTATCAGCCCAACCTACCTCACAGGGCTGCTGTTGTGAAGATAAGATTGAGAATGGGTAGAGAAATTGTAAGCCACCTTGCGCTCCATGATAGGAAAAAAAGGTGGAATATGGATATAATAAATACTTAAATAAATAAAATAGTTAATCACTGGTGATTATCCAATCAGCAATGTATTGAATAGGTCTTAAGCACATGTCCATAACCACTATTCATCACAATTTTGTAATCAGTTACACTGATCAAGGAAGCAGGCAACTGGGCATCTGTGAGGTTAGGACCACTCCTTACATTATGCCACCCAGAACCACACTGGCATGGCAGAGCCAGAGCCTTTTCAAGGAAGGGCATGGTCAGACATCTGCAAAGGGCTCAGACCACATAAAGGTCCACTAAAAAGAACTCCCAGGATTTGGTCCTTCATTGGAACATCTCTGCTTATCAGCCAAAGGTTGTTATGAGAAAGAAGAGCAGTAGAAGCCTGTTCGCTCACTGGCTGTTTGCAAGGAAAATGTACACAAATGGAGGCAGAGTAAATGTTTACCCCAACAGATGTACTTGTATTTTTCATAAACTAATGAAATAGTGTACCACATACTAATGTCAATTACTAAGTATTTGGGGATACTTTCCCAGGAAATATATCACAAATGAGCAAGTTTGAATTGAGTAAGTTGATTAATGATATCTCCAGAGACATTGACATAGGGCATCTATGAAGTTAAGTCTATTGGGTAGGAGAAATACACTTTAAATGAATGTAATACTTTGAATTGCTTGTGTTTCATGTCCTTTGTACTGGGGAGGTACTTCCAGAAGCATAATGTTTTGGTTTCACAAATTTTATGGGGTTCCACTTGCATATCCTTGAAAAGCATGCAAGTTTCAAAGAGGATGGATTTGGACACCCTGACTTTTCCTGATATCATCAGGCCTATTTGCTGATCTCCACTAGATTTGTTTTGTTTTTATACTCAAGACTAGATTCTTCTCCCAGGTCTGTTGTAGAATCTTCATTTCTGGACCCTTTTCCCAGATGGGGGATGAATAATGTGTTCCTTCCAAATGTGACAACTAGAGAGCTATGGCATATATTTGTACACTGATTAAACTATTTTTATATGCAAAATTAACTTTACAGAAAAAAACCAGATTTAAAAATTGGCAAGAAAACCACTGTTTGGCAGACTTGGCTGATTTTTACTTTGGATTTTTACTTTGTGGGTCCCGATTATAATTTTCTGCCATTTTCTGCCGCTTGTGCTAAACGTAAGTTGGCAACTAGGACTGCATGGCAATATATCCAGTTGAAACATGTATTAAAATCCAGGTTTGTTCTGCTACTTCTGCAGATTCAGAGCTGCCAATGTTATTGAAAATATTAAGTCTGAACAGTTACATCAGCATACATCTATAAATTTCTATTATTGGTGAGCAAATACAAGAATGAAATAATGAACTGGAGCCCCACATCTTACCCAATCAATAGACTGTGCCATTATTTTCTATTTCACATGGGGTCATGGATCATAGCCTATCCTTAATTCAGCAAAAAGTTGATGGTTTGAGTATAGTGAATATCACAACTTCTCTTTGATAAGAGCTTAATTAAATCAGCCAATTGTTGGAGATGCAACATTTTTAATGCCTTTCTTCTCCATATGTTTTGGCAATGCACAATGACAGCTTCCTTTGGGACAAGGTAATAATTCAGAAAAATCTTGTGATGCAAAGTTCTTTAATATTGAAGGATACACATTTTTTTAAATTATCTACGCATCTTTTGGAATTTAACACAAGAGGCTTCGATGTAAATGTTTTTTGTGTTCTCTTGATAGTTGAAAGACTAATATTACAACATTAGAAAGAAAAATGGTCATCACTTTATTTATTTATTAAAATGGTATAAAAGCCACCTATTAGCATGATGTTCTATGTAGATGATTTAATGAAACTTGTGATTGTTGAATGGGTGGCTGTTAAGCATAATCTACATAACCAGCAACAGACTCTTCTGAGGCTAGTAGCATTCTCTTTCAAGGCGCCACTCTTAACTTCCAGCATTGATTATTCCATGGTGGGAACAAACAAAATGCAAATAACTCATGTCAAATTGCCCTGCTGGCCTTCCTGTTATCAAAATTCTTACCCCTTAGCAAAAAAGATGCATAAATCATTATGCTCCAAGAATTGTTATGCTTGGAAATCCCCTCCCTTTGCTTCCTTTAATACATATGATCCTTCACTTTCCTTTATTTATAATTAATGCTATCGGTTTCTACCAAAGCACTATCATTTAAATTGTTTTACATGCATATATTTTCTTCTGCAGGTGAAGCAGACATTCTGGAAAAGTATTGCCTCTCCCTTGTGTTCCTGCACAACTCTCATGCTTCTGTCCCCGAAAACACCTCTTGCTTATGCCCTCCAGTATCACCAGAACTATTTCTTTCTTTGAGAGAACAAGGGTTGTTTTTCAGCTTCTGTTCGTCTTCTCTCCACCAATACACATGTATATATTTAGCCTGCAGAAATATTGCAAGGTCAAACTTGAGATTTCCTCTTCAAGTTTGGAGCAGACTTCCTAAGGAATTTATTCTGCTTGGCAGGAATCTATCTAAGTCACAAATTCCCAGTTCTCGTCTACAAATTCCCAATTTAGTGAGAACTAGGAG